AACGGCCCTGCTCGTTATAGTTTTTTGGGGATGCGCGGACTTGGGCGGACTATGGGGAATCGGCCCCCAGGGCCCTCCTCGTCGCCACGGCTGGCGGAGAGGGAGGGGGAGAGCGAGGGGGGCGACGAGGAGGAGGAGGAGGAGGAGGTGAAGGAGGAGGAGGAGAGGGCAGAGCAGAGGGCGAGAGGAGGGTGTCTGCCAGGGCGAGGAGGAAAGGGCTAAGGGCAAGCTGAACAGATTCTCATGTGGGGCCCTTCCGTCGGAGTAATTGGGGATGCGCAGATGTTAGCATTCGAGCCGAAGAGCACCGACTTGGGCGACGAGGCCTGGCAAGCCTGCACCAGCACACAGCAGCACGACAGACAGGAAAGATCATGATAGCGGGAGCAGGATAGTTGGCTACTCGTCTTACTGCTTCTCCTCGTCCTCCTCCCTCTAGAACTGAAAAGCAATCCGATGGACAACAGCATTCGGAGGGCCGCGTGGACCTTCGCAGGCTTCTTATCATAACGTTATTATTCCTCGATTCTCCTCTTCATCCTGAATTGCTGTCCTACTCCTGCTCCCGCTGCTGTTCCTTCTCCTCCTGGTGCCCCATGCTCCCCTCCCTCCACATCCCATATTCTGGCACTGTCCTCGTTCTTCTTTCTTCAATGGTCATGCCTCCTTTCTTACTCATTGGCTGGATGTCCTCCTCCTCCTCCTCTTTCTCCTCCTCGTTATACTCCTTGCCACAATCATCATCATCAGCAGCAGCATCATCAGCAGCATCATCACCACCACTACCATCAACATCATCATCATCATCATCATCATCATCATCATCATCATCATCATCATCATCATCACAATTATCAGCATCAGAGTCATCATCATAATCAGCATGATCAGCAGCAGCAACATCATAATCGTCGTCATCATCGTCGTCATCATAGACGTCACAATCGTCATCATCATCAGCACCAGCATCATCAACAGCAGCAAAAGCAGCAACACCATCATCATCGCACTCATCAGCAGCAGCAGGCGGCATCATCATCAGTAGCATCAGCATCATCATCATCATCATCATCAGCAGCAGCAGCAGCATCAGCATCATCATATCATCATCATCATCATCATCATCATCATCATCATCATCATCATCACAATCGTCACCACCACCACCATCATCATAATCAGCATCAACATCATCCAGATCATCATCATTATACTCATCACCATCGTCGTTCATAGTAGCAGTGTTGGTATGGCTGGTATCACCATCAGCATGATCATCACCAGCAGCAGCAACATCATCATCAGCATCAACATCATCATCATCATCATCATCATCATCATCACCATCATCAGCATCATCATCAGTATCATCGCCATCGCCATCACCATCACCATCACCACCATAACCACCATCACCACCATCACCACCACTACCGTCACCATCGCCAGCACCATCATCATCATCACCGTCACTATCTCCATCCCTGCATAACCAACACCATCCGCATCACCATATCCATACATCATCTATCTACCAATCCATCCATCCATCCATCCATCCATCCGTCCGTCCGTCCGTCCATCCTCCCTCCCTCCCTCCCTCCCTCCCTCCCTCCCTCCCAGGAGGAGGGGGAGGTGGAGAAAGAAGAGAAGATGTGGACAGGGGGGGGGGCATTGCAGGTTTGCGAGGAGAAGGAGGAGGAGAAGGAGGAGGAGGAGGAGGAGGAGGAGGAAGGGAGGGGTGAGAAGGAGGATCAATACACATGTCTGTATCAAGTTGTTTGTCAACATCGTGTTGCGAGCTAAATTTAGTGTTCGAGCACAGCTTTAAGTGCGCTCGGAGCAAACACATGAAATACATCGTACATAGGTATTGCGAGCAAGAGATATACGCGTCAATGCCATGCCTATCGGCGCCATGCCTGCGGACTACAGCACAACAACTCTCCTTGTGCAAACATTGCAGAAAGGACACCGATGGCAAGAACGATGGAGTTGGCCTCGCTGGCAACCTGCATGAGGTCTGCTGAGTAGGCAGCCGCATCAACACCGTGCCTCGAGACAGGTGAAAGGAAAGAGGACACGCAATTGCCCTCGTCCTGCCACTTCTGGGCTTCGCTTCATCCTTCGCTATGCTTGCTCCTCACGTCATGCTGCCACCCGTATCCCACCCTCCTCCTTCGATCCTCCCTCCTCCCTCCCATCCCCTCTGGATCCTAGCCCCCTCTCTTTTGCAGCCTCCTCATTACATTCACGGCCGCCCTTCCGTTTATCTTCAGCGCTTCTGCGGGCAATAAGGGGACGGATCGCAAGCATCAGCCAGATAGTGGTAACGAACACAGCATGTCCGTATTCATTTACCGCGCTGGCACAAACCAGCAAAACACCGGCGATCGGTAAAAACTTACTGGGGCAATAACGGCCGGCACTGCAATACAGACACATAGACACATACACGATAATACATCCTGCTGTAAGATGTGCGCCGGCTTCCGCTTGCCCGGGTTCACGGGCGTGTGACATGATTGGCTGACCTTTTCCCCCCCCCCTTGGGGTTTGCACTCCGATTCGAGAGAGGGGGGCGGGGGGGGCCAGGGGGGAGTTGGGAGGGGTGAGGGGGGGGCGGGGGACGAGCCCATCAACGCACCCCAGGAGGGGGGGGGGGGCCTCCAGAACCTCCCAATCTACACTCCGTGGCCCCCAGGATGCCAGAGATGCCGCCTACGCTGGCCCAAACAGGGCTCCAACACGCCAAAGAGCCCTTAAAGACGACCAAACTGGCCTCACGATTGCCCAAGAAGCCTCCCAGACATCCCAAGAGGGCTCCAGGAGGACCTCTGAGAGGGCCTCAAGAAGCAAGAATCGTCCAAAGCCCCTGGGGAAACGTAGATTTTGAGGGTCTTCACAACGTTGGTCTTAACAGCGTCCAGGACAGTTCAAGAGACCCCCAAGATCACCCCAAGACGGCCCACGAAACCCCCAAGAGGGCCCCAACCTGGCCGAAGAGGGTCCCAAGACGACTCAAGAGGCGCCCAAAATGGCAAGAGAGAGCCCCAACAGCCCCACTGAGGGGCCCAAGAAGGGTTGATCGAACTGACGCTCCAAGCCCTCCGCCCCAAGAGGACCCCCGAGACGGCCAACAAGCGCCAACAACATCCCTAGGAGGCCCGAGGAGGAGGAGGAGGAGGAGGAGGAGGAGGAGGAGGAGGGGAGGAGGAGGAGGAGGAGGAGGAGGAGGAGGAGGAGGAGGAGGAGGAGGCCCCCAAGAGGCCCCCCACCCAAAAAGAAAACCCAGAAGGGTCCCCGAGAGGCTCCGGCAGGCCCCACCCGTGGACCCCATCGCTCTTCGGAGGGTCGGCGGACTGGCATACGATACCGTCGGGGCGTTGACCTAAGGAAACCTAAATAAGGAACGAGGCCCCTGTTTCCCACAAGTTAAATTTCGATTTCCCATCGAAGACCTAAGGAAAACGAAGGGCAAGCTGCGAAACACTCAAGGAACACCGAGCCCCTTCCCCAACGAAAAGGGTTCCTTCTTCAGGGCCCCGACTGTAGCTTCATGTGGCGCTGGCGCGCTGGCGGCGCCAGCGAAGGCGTTCAAGCTTGACTTCTGCGACGCAGAAGCTCCGAGGGACGCAGCGGCGCCACCGCATCCGACGGAATTCCACCTCGGAAGATCGGGGCCAGCATCGATTCGAGGTGGAACGATCGACGCGGCGTCAGAAAACCTTCGCACGCGCCGACGCCGCACGAACCTATATACCGTACCCGCTGGAGTATCTGCGCACGTTAGTGTCTCGATCCCTGGGGGTCCCTGAGGTGCCCCAGAGATTCCGCGGGCCCCCAGGGGCCACCGGGGGGAAAATCAATTGGCGTGTGGCAGCTGCCGGCGTGCGGAGTTTTTTATCCGATGCGCCTGCAGTCGGGCTGCTGAGGTCAGGAGCGCAAGAGCAGAAACGAAGCCCTTTTTCTGGCATCGAATCAGCCTGGATATGCGAGGGAGGCTAGAACAAACACCACAGAAGGACCCGAGGAACAGACAGCCCTTTCCGAACCCGAACCGTTCCTTCTCTCAACGTCTTGGCTGTGCTGTAGCCCCTGGGTGTCGTCCCTTCTTCCGAGAGCATTCCGCCAACTGTTGCAGGCGCCGCGGGCTTCCTCTGACAGATGGGGGAAAACGTGCGAGCCTCCGTTCATGTTTTAGGAGCTGGCGCTGGCGACCTGCATGCCACGCGAGCTGCAGTGTCGGAGCCGCCCGTCATCGGAGTCTGGGGTGAGTCCTCCACCAGTCTGCGGCCCCCTGGCTTCGGACTCGTCCTGGTCCTTGGGTGTCAATCCCTCCTCTGACTCCAGCTGTCGTTGCTCTCCTGGATCGTCCGCCCTGTGGGCCTCTTGGCAGGGCCGGGCATGTGCGAGCAGATTTGGAAACAACCCCTGCCCATGGAGCCAGCGGTGCTGGCTGCAACTGCTGAGTGTGACGCTGGCGTGCTAGTGTCCATGCACTCAGGCATGTGACCGGCAAATGATGCACCGTCGGCAGAATAATCAAAACTGGTTGAACATAAACGTAAACTGTCTGAGCTCCGCGTGGATGTCTTGGATCGGCGCTGGGCCCCCCTGGCGGCGCCTCCCCGGCGCCGCCTGCAGCGCCGCCCCGGAGCGCCAGGGAGGAGAGGCCCGGCGCCGATCCGAGAAGTCCGCGCGGAGCTCCGAAAGTGTTATGCTGATGCCTTGGTGCCAGTGTGATTGCTCTTCTTCTCGGCAGCGAGCCCAAGGGGGAAGTGAGAAGGGGCGGGCCTCTTCAGAAAGCTCGGAAGGCCTCGGGCCTTCTGAGAACAATTTTCCAAGCCACCCCCGAAGACACCGAAACCTCCTCAGAGGGCAGAAGAGCTCTCGGGAGGCCCGCCGCCTTCTGAGAAGGCCTGCCCGTTCTCACCTCCCCCTGGGCGCGCCGCCAGATGTGGCTATTGGGCCATAGCTCGGCTCTCCGGCGGCCGTTCGGGACGATCTTGGTCCCCCCCGGAACGCCCCCGGCGACGCGCAGCTGCTGGCAAGCAGCCCGAGGCTGGAGAGCCGCCGAGGAGCGGCGAGGACGCCCGAAAACACCGAGCAGCGGACCTGGAACTTCCCCGGGCGCGGCGCCCCTCCTCGAGCCCCTCCTCCTCCCTCCTCCTCCTCCTCCTCCTCCTCCGCTGGCGCAGCCGCGCGCGCAGCGCCTCAAACATGGTCTAAACGAGGAGGCGGAGGAGGAGGGGGAGGAGGAGGAGGAGGAGGAGGGAGGAGGAGGAGGAGGAGGAGGGAGGAGGAGGAGAGAGGAGGAGGGGGAGGAGGAGGAGGAGGAGGAGGAGGAGGGGGAGGAGGAGGAGGAGGAGGGAGGAGGAGGAGGAGGAGGAGGAGGAGGAGGAGGAGGAGGAGGAGAGGAGGAGGAGGAGGAGGAGAGGAGGAGGAGGAGGGAGGAGGAGGAGGAGGAGGAGGAGGGAGGAGGAGGAGGAGGAGGAGGAGGAGGAGGAGGAGGAGGAGGGGAGGAGGAGGAGGAGGAGGGAGGAGGAGGAGGAGGAGGAGGAGGAGGAGGAGGAGGAGGAGGAGGAGGAGAGGAGGAGGAGGAGGAGGAGGAGGAGGAGGAGGAGGAGGAGGAGGAGGAGGAGGAGGAGGAGGAGGAGGAGGAGGAGGAGGAGGAGGAGGAGGAGGAGGAGGGGAGGAGGAGAGGAGGAGAGGAGGAGGAGGAGGAGGAGGAGGAGGGGGAGGGCGGAGGTGGAGGGAGGAGGAGGAGGAGGGAGGAGGAGGAGGAGGAGGAGGAGGAGGAGGAGGAGGAGGAGGAGGAGGAGGAGGAGGAGGAGGAGGAGGAGGAGGGAGGAGGAGGAGGAGGAGGAGGAGGAGGGGGAGGAGGAGGAGGAGGAGGAGGAGGAGGAGGAGGAGGAGGAGGGAGGAGGAGGAGGAGGAGTAGGAAGGAGGAGGAAGGAGGAGGAGGAGGAGGAGGAGGAGGGGGCGGACGAGCACGAGCATTTGCAGAAGGAAGAGGACTTCGAAATATCAAAAACGTTCCGAGTTAAGCACCTATTGAGATACCAGGGGGGGCGCAGCCCGCGGCCGCCTCTTGAACTGGGCCATGGAGCCGACGCCGTCGGCCACGCCGAGGCCGCTCGCTCCGCAGAAGTACGCGTCCTCAGCGCCGGGATGGGGGGGGGGACTGGGCCCGGCAGGAGAAGCCCGGGCGAGCCTGGGCCCCACAGGAGTCGTCGTCGTCGTCGTCGTCGTCGGCGGCGGCGTCGGCAGCGTCGTCGGCGGCGGCGGCGTCGTCGGTGTCGTCGTCGTCGGCGTCGTCGTCGGCGTCGTCGTCAGCGGCGTCGTCGTCGACGTCGTCGTCGCCGCTCCACCCTCATTTCCAAGGGCCTCCTCTTCAACCGCCATAGGCAGAGCATGGGTGAACAGACCCCCGCGGCCCGACAGAGCCATTCTCCGCGGCGCGCCCGGGCGCATCCGCCCAGGTGAGCCCAGGCTCTGCAGGAGGACATTGGATGGGCAGATCAGGGGGGAACATGTATCGAACGGGAAGAGGAACGAGGAGCAGGAGGAGGAGAAGCGGGGAGACTGACACCCATACTAGCCCCTGTAAGAGTGACGCGCAGGGTTCTGGAGGTATCCCGAGCTCGGGGCATACCAGGGTTCGCCTCACTATCCTGCAGCCGTTCCTCTTGTTCGTTTCACATCGCTATAATCATCCATGCCCCTCTTCTTCTTCATCCTCCCCATCCTCCTCATCTACGTCCTTTTTCTCCATCCTTCTCATCAACATCATCATCCTCTATCCTCGCCCAGTCCCCCTTCCCGCCCTCCTTCTCGTCCCAAGGGACACCAAATTCGCGCCTCGCTCTGCGCGAAATGCGAACAACTCCGCGCTCTCGCGCCGCCAGCCGAGAGGAGAACAGGAGGCGGGGCCGAACCGTGACCCTGCGACGCGTGCGTCCTGCAGCTCCCTCTCTCAAGATCCCCCTTTCCCCTTCCCCGCGCTCTGTCTGCTACAGGTCGCCTGGGGGAGCCCAAGATCGCCAACGCATGCTCGACGCCGGAGATCATCGCGAAGAGCCCAGCCCGGGACGCGACACGGTGCAGACTGAGGCTCGGTGTGGGCTCTCCGTCTCTTTCTCCTCATCGTCCACATCCGAAGTTGCTTTTGCGGCGCTCTTTTCAGCCTCCAAACTGCCAAGAAGGTATCCAAGACGGCTTCCAAGGACGTCAATGTGACATCAAGACGGCCCAAGATGGCCGAAGACGGCGCAAGAGGCTCCCAAGACGGCATCAAGACAACTCAAGAAGCTCCGATGACGGCTCAAGCGGTCTCCAAGAGGCCCTCCAAGAACGCCCGAGGAGACCAAGCTATTCATGTGTCTGAAATGTTTGAAGGATTCTGAGCTTCTCGCCTGTTTGGGGTTCCGACCGCCCAAGACGGCCCAAGGGGCTTCCAAGTTAGCTCCAATATTGCCCATGAAGCTCCCAAGAGTACCCCGAGCCGACCCAAGAGGACCCCAAGATCGCCCAAGAGACTCCCGAGAGGGCTCCAAGACGGCCCCCAAGCGCTCCAAGCGGGCACCAGGAGGCCTTCCAAGTGAGCCCGAGGAGGCCCCACCATTAGTTGTCCTTATGTATTTGAAGACGTTTGACGTTCTCGCCAATTTGGGATTGCGACCGCCCATGACGGCCCAAGGTCCCTCCAAGATAGCGCCAAGGCAGCCCATGAGGCCCCCAAGAGGGCCCCGAGTTGGCCCAAGAGGACCCCAAGATCGCCCAAGAGGCTCCCAAGTGGATTCCAAGACAGCCTGAAAGCGCTCCAAGAGTGCTCCAAGAGGCCGCCCAGGAGAGCCCGAGGAATCCAAAAGCATTCATGTTCGTCAGGTGTTTGCAGAAATTTGAATTTCTCGCCTTGTTGGCTTTCCGACCGCACAAGGCGGCCCAAGGGGCCTCCAGGACAGGTCCAAGACAGCCCATGAGGCCCCCGACAGGGCCAGAGTCGGCCCAAGAGAACTCCAAGATCGCCGAAGAGGCTCCCAGACGGCCCCAAGACGACCCCAAAGCGCCCCAAAGGCCCCCAAGACGGCCTCCGAAGGCGGCAGACGGGTTAACCGCTTCCCTAAAACGGCCCAAGAGGCCTCAAGAGGCCCCGAAGAGGCCCCAGGAGGCTCCCAAGAGAGGCCCCCAAGAGGCCTACAAGAGGCGCCCCAGGAGGCCCACAGGAGGCCACAGGAGGGCCCCTCCTCGTCCTCAATTTCTCCATCTCTTTTTCCTCCTCCTCCTCCTCCTCCTCCTCCTCGTCCTCCTCCTCCTCCTCCCTACCGCGCGGACGAGGACGATGTCGGGATCGCGGCCCTCCATAATTCACACCACTCGCTTATTTGCCGCGGGGTGTGAGCTCGACATCCTTCCGACGCGGTCGAGTTCACGACCCGTCCTTATCATACCACTTGTCGGAATGGCGCGGTCCCAACACTCAGCCTCCTTCCCGCAGCGCTGTTGCGCAGGCACAGTGGCTGGATTGGCCGCAGGTAGCTGGATAGACTGTGTTCGTGCTCATCGTCCTACCGTCCCATACGTTGCACGAGGAGTCCTCGCAGCGTCCGCCCGGCTTCGGGATGCTGTGGGCACCTGTGCCGGGGCCAAAGAGGTCAAAAGGGCCAGCATAGAACAGCAACTACGTGTTAGAATTGATATGGGAGGCTGAAGGCGAATGGCAAACTCCAGGGGCACTGCAATATGTTATTATATCTCTCTCTCAAACTCGGTTTCTCTTGTTATGTCTCTCTTCCTCTCTCTCAGTGTTATATATATGTTAGTATATTCATGCACTATGAACATACACGTATACACAAATCACTGTGTGCACACACATATATATATATACATACATATATATACACACACATATATATATATATATATATATATATATATGTATGCGAATGTCCCTCCCCATACGGGGTGCATATATTTGCATGTGCATAAACGCATACATAGACATGTCAACTTACACATGCAGACGTAGCTACGTAACCTGAGTACAAGCATGTGCACTTGTTGGCAAACGTGGGACCCAACCAGTGTGTTCTAGCATACGAACTGGTACACTGTTTATGGTGCCAGCTGTGTGGTGGAAACTATGTGGTTGAATCTACGGGATGCAATTTATGTGGTGCAAGCTACGTGCTGCATGCTACGAAGTGAAGTTCACCATGCCGAGCTTGAAATTGACAAATCCAGTGTTCACGCAATCGTCCCACCCACCCACCCGCAACTTGGTTTGCAAAACCACGCGGCGGCGATTGCAATGACTGTTCGGCGCTGGCTGGCGCATCGCCGCGGCCGCGCTAGCGCGCATGCTCGCGCGCACAGCGGCCAGCCAGTGTAGCGCGACTGCGCGGCCACGGTGGCGCTTCCCAGCGGGTGCGCCAATGGGAGTGGGCGACTTGGGCGGGAGCGGTATCATGGCAACGTCGACGACGGTAAACGGATGATGATAGTGGCGATGTTGGCGACGATGATGACTGCGACGACGGCACGGCCACCGACGGCGCCGATGTTCATCACGCCGACTGACGGCGTCCTCGCGTCGGTGATGAAGCTTTTGCCAGGAATTCGGCATGCGCGCGCGGCCGACGTGCGAGAGCGGCCGGCATAATATTCTTTTACACGGATACTGCCCCCCCAGCACGCGCGCAAGGATGTTCGAATGATTTCGACATGCGGCGCGAGAAACCTGTTTGGCACAACGTTGCGAAAATGTCGCGGTACCGATGGTAATGTTGAGAATTCGCGACACCGCGAGCGCAGTTTTTTTTGTTGGTTTATTGTTGGGGGGGGACTGATGGTTGCAAAACTATGTGCACTCATATGTTTTCGGGACACTCGATGTTGAAAACCTTACGAAACCCGACATTTGTGAAGGATGTCGGCATGCGCGCACAACGACGCGCGCGCACTTCGTCCAATTTGTCGCTAGGGGTTCTTGCAACAGCACGCGCGCAAGGGCGTTCCTGCGATTCCGACATGCGCGCGCGAGAGGGCCGCTTGGTAGCATGTTATGGACATGTTGGAAAACCGACGGATTTCATGAGAACCCGCAAGAGGAACCCGAGCGCGAAACTGCTGTGAACATCCTTGTTGCAAAACCATGTTTCTTGTTTCTTCGACGGGTTCCGGCACTCGGCGCGCGACGGCGCGCGCGCGCGTGAACTTTGTCGCATGTTTTGCACGGGGTTTTTGAAAACTAATGATTTGTGATGAACGAGTGCGCGCGCATTGCAGCTTCTGTAGCCAAGAACGGGGGGAACGGTCTTGGCATGGCTGGCGCGGCACGAATTCATATGTAGGATGGACGATGGGGCAGAATCATATGTATATTACAATACGAAAATTGGAACCGTAAAAAGTGGTGCAATCTATGTTGTAGGAGTATTTCTGGTTTTGTATTTTTCAGTGCGCAATGGGTTGTCCACTCCAATGCTCGCGCAATCATCCCACCCACCCACCTGTAAGTTGGATTGCAAAAACCACGCGGCGGCGATTGCGATGACTGCTTAGAGTTGGCTGGTGCATCTCTGCGGCCGCGCTAGCCCGCGCATGCTCGCGCGCGCAGCGGCCAGCCAATTTGGCGCGACCTGCGCGGCCGCGGTGGCGCTAACCGCTGGGCACATCCCCGCGGGCACTTCAGTACGAGTCGGCGACTTGGGCGGGCGCGGTATCATGGCAACGTCGACGACGGTAGACGCGATGATGATGGTAGCGATACTGGCGACGGTGCTGACAACGACGACGGCAAGGCCACTGACAGCGCCGATGCTGATCACGCCGACGACGATGACGGCGTCCTCGCGTCGGCGATGGAGGTCCTGCCAGGAATTCGACATGCGCGCGCGGCCGGCGCGCGGAGTGGCCCGCATAATATTTTTGTTGCACGAATCGTGACCCCCTCCCCCGGCGCGAGGGGCCCGTTTCGCACAAGTTAATGACATGTTGACAAAGCGATGGTGTTCCTGAGGATATGCAGGGGCGCGAGCGCCGTTTCTTTTTTTTGGGGGGGGGACTGATGTTGCAACAACCATGAATGTTTCATATGTGTTCGGGGCAACTGGTTTTACATCCGTACGAAACCTCAGGTCTTGCACTGATTGCGGCATGCGCGCACGACGACGCGCGCGCGCACTTCGCCACGTTGTTTGCAAGGGGCTCTTGCGACAGCACGCGCACAAGGGCGTTCTTGCAATTCCGACATGCGCACGCGAGAGGCCCGTTTGGCAGCATATCATGCACAGCTTGAGTGCTGTTTGAAAAACCGTGTTGCGAAATCATGTGCTTTGTCCCAACCATCCTGTCGTGTCGGGTCCTCGTTTTGAAGAACCAGCGCCCCGCGTCTCTTCCCCTCCCCTCATCCTTCCCCTCCCCCCTCCCCCCTCACGTCGGCACACCCCTTCGCACGCTTCGTGGCCGCACAGGGAAGTCCACCGAGGGCCTCCCTGGCCGCGCTCGCACGTGGGACCACAACCAAGCACAACGCCCCGTGGCCCCACAGGGAGTTCCGCCGAAGGCTCCACTGGCGCCCCCGCCCCACAGCAACGCACCCCTCACACGTCTCGCGGCCCAATAAGGGGGTCCCACCGACGGCCCCAGTGGTTGCGCTCGCACGCGCTTCCCCCAACCAGCACAGCGCTTCGTGGCCACGAGGGGGCTCCGCCGAAGGCCCGACTGGCTGCCCTCGCACGGGGGGGGAGCCCACGCTGCACGACGCTTCGTGGCCCCATAAGGGGGGCTCAATCGAAGGCCCCAGTGGCTGCTCTCGCACGCAGGGCCCTCACGATATACAGCGCTTCGTGGCCCCATAGGGAGTTCCGCCGAAGGCTCCACTGGCGCCCCCGCCCAACTGCAACGCAACCCTCACACGTCTCGCGGCCCAATGGGGGGTCCCACCGAAGGCCCCAGTGGTTTCGCTCGCGTGCGTTTCCCCCAACCAGCACAGCGCTTCGTGGCCCCATGGGGAGCTCAACCGAAGGCCCCAGTGGCTGCTCTCGCACACAGGGCCCTCACGTTGTACAGCGCTTCGCGGCCCCATATATGGATCCCACCGAAGGAGTCAGTGGCGGTGTCCGCATGCGGTTCCCCCACCCAGCATCACGCTTCGTGGCCTCATGGGGGGCCCACCGAAAGCGTCAACGGCGGTGTCCACATGATTTCCCCCCACCCAACACAGCGCTTCGCGGCCCCATGGGGGGCTCCACCCAAGGCCTCCGTGGCTGCACTGGCACGCGTGCCCCCCGCCCAGTACAACGCTTTGTGGCCCCATGGGGGGCCCCACCGAGGGCGCCAGTGGCCGTGTCCGCATGCGGTTCTCCCACCCAGTACAATGCGTCGTGGCCCCATAGGGAGCTCTGCCGAAGGCTCCAATGGCGGCCCCGCCCCACTGCAACGCACCCCTCACGTGTTGCGCTGCCCCATGATGGGCTCCGCGCGAAGCCACAATGGCAGGGCCCACTTGGCGGCCCCGCCCCACGTCGGCACACCCGTCGCATGCTCCATGGCCCCTTTTTGAAGCGATCCCCCGAAGGCGATACCCGCACCGACGGTACTCACAACTGCATATGGTCGGGCCCTTCGCCAGGATATGTGTCGGCTTTCGGGGCATTCGTTTTTGAAATCCGCACGGACCCTGAAGTTGTTCTGGGATTTCCGCACGGGCGCGCGCGACGACGACGCGCGTGCGCACTTTGCCCCAACGTTGGCAAGAAATTCTTGCAAACTGCTGATGTGTGATAAACGAATGCGCGCACAGTACGTTCAAATAGTTATTGGCAGACAATAAGGGGGACGATCGCGGCCTTGTTGGCGTGGTATGGGTTCATATTCAGGATGGACGATGGGGCACACTCATCTATACACTCTGTTACGAAAAGGGGAACCGTAAATTTCGGGAGGGGGTACATCATAGCACTCGCCTAGAAACAAAGAAATGAACGTGCTCACCTATGTGGTGTTAGCTATATGGTGTACGCTACGCGGTGCCATCTATGAGGTGCGAATTAATTTCTGTTCGCAATGATTTGTCCACTTCACTGCTCGCGCAAACATCCCATCCACCCACCCGCAACTTGGTTTGCAAAATCTCTTAAGGCCGTGACGGTGGGTACCAAATGGCACTTGGCAACACCAGCGACGCCGACGACGACAGCGACAACGACGACGACGACGACGACAACGACTACGACGACACCGACGACGTCTCCAACGACATCGACGACGCCGACAACGACGACGACGACACCGACGACGACGACGACGACGACGCCGACGCCGACGACGACGACGACGATGACAAGGACGACGACGATGACGACGCCGACGACGACGATGACGACGACACCGACGACGACGACGACGACGTCAACGACTTCGACGACGACGACGACGACGACGACGACGACGGCGGCGACGACGACGACGACGACGACGACGACGACGACGAAGACGACAACGACGCCCACGCCGACGACGACGAAAACGACGACGACGTCGCCAACGAAGACGACGAGGGAGGAGGAAGGACGGCGACGACGACAACGACGATAACGACGACAACGACGAGGGAGGGGGGAGGACGG